CCCCCCCCCCCCCCGGCCGGGCCTGCGGAAGGTCAATGGAATTGAAGGAACTAACTTTCACTTGTTAGACTCTTTATTGTTCTTTGCAATTTCATGTGACAAATTATCTTTATCTTCAATATGTAGACATTTTTTGTAATATTTTAGTATCTTATGCCCCTAAGGGCATCTTCAAAACTTACCTTTGTCTAAACCCAAATTTAAATTTGCATAAAAAAATCCTTAAATCGTTTTCCAATGCTGTACCCAAACTCATATCAAATCAAGAGAGACTCAAACCTTTACTCAAATCTCAATGGTTAGATTTTATTCTCCTTTAAAAATATAATGGTTATATTATTTCTTCTTTTAAATTTGAGTTTGTCATCTTTTAACTTTGAGTTTCTCCAATTGACTACTTTGTATCAAATCAAGTTTTTTACTCAAATTTGGGTAAAGGTTTGGGTCTCCATTGGAGATGGTCTAATACTTGGAATTTAGCGTATCCTTCTGTTTCCTTTTTCTTTTACGCTTCTCATTTTCGATTGTTGGCGGAAAGCCAACTGACAATTGACTAGTTAACTATATTTTCCAAGTGGAAGTGTAATGATAATAGTCATAACCATTAATTCAAAAGTCACAAGTTTTTCTTTTGAGAAGCTTAATGAGTTTTCATGTCAACACTCATATGAGTAACAAAAGTAATTAAATTTGTTCATGCTTCATACTTCAAGAGTGGAACCACAACAAATTTATTAATGAAAATAGTTTATATTAAGTTGCAATTTTGGCGGATAGCGAGCTTCATGTGATAAATAGGATTTTTTTTATGCATTTCTTTTTCCATTTAGTGGTTGGGTTTCGTATCCAACCATTATCATGTATACTTAATTTTTATTAATAAAATTTGTTTTTCCTATGTAAAAAAAAAAAGTTTATATAAATTTGTATCAATGGCAGATGGAACAAAGATATTTGGTAGTTATTATATATGAAGAATAATGTTTGTATCCAGAAATACTTCGCGATTGGTTATGGTTTCTTAGTTCGCACACCAGCTGCATAGCTCACGGAGTCACAGGTAGCCACCCATTTTCTGCCCCCTCTTCCTCCCTCCAACCCTTCCTCCATCTATGCATCTGCAGATTGAGAGAGTCATGGATGTCTTCTGATCTTAGGCTTGAAAGTTGGCAATTTTCCTTGCTTTATTGAGTTAGAGTGATATTGACATGGATGGGATGGTCTATGTTGCAGAAAGTTGAAGATGCACTTGAGAAGGGGTCTGAAATGTCAAATCAAGGGATTGTTTTGGAAGATGATCCAGAATACCAGCTTATTGTAGATTGTAATGCATTATCTGTGGACATTGAGAATGAAATTGTTATCATCCACAATTTTATCCGTGACAAGTACCGCTTAAAATTTCCAGAGCTTGAATCTCTTGTTCATCACCCAATTGATTATGCTCGAGTAGTTAAAAAGATCGGGAATGAAATGGATCTAACCCTTGTTGACCTGGAAGGACTTTTACCCTCAGCTATTATTATGGTTGTCTCAGTGACAGCATCAACTACTAGTGGCAAGCCACTTTCAGAGGAAGTTCTGCAAAAGACAGTTGATGCATGTGATCGAGCTCTTGTTCTAGATTCAGCAAAGAAAAAAGTTCTTGATTTTGTGGAGAGTAGAATGGGATATATTGCTCCAAATCTTTCTGCTATCGTTGGAAGTGCAGTTGCTGCCAAACTTATGGGGACTGCTGGTGGTCTCTCAGCATTAGCTAAGATGCCAGCATGTAATGTTCAGGTTCTTGGTGCCAAGAGAAAGAACTTAGCAGGGTTTTCCACTGCAACATCCCAATTTCGTGTAGGTTATCTTGAGCAAACAGAAATTTTTCAGAGCACACCCCCTTCTTTGAGGATGCGTGCTTGCCGACTTTTAGCTGCAAAATCTACACTTGCAGCACGTGTAGACTCTACGAGAGGAGATCCAACAGGGAAGACCGGAAGATTTTTTCGGGATGTCATCCATAAGAAGATTGAAAAGTGGCAGGAGCCGCCTCCTGCAAAACAACCTAAACCGCTTCCAGTTCCTGATTCTGAGCCCAAAAAAAAAAGAGGTGGTCGTCGGCTAAGAAAGATGAAAGAAAGGTAGTGCAGTTTGGCTATTATCTTATGTAGGGATTGCTGCACATGTTTTTTTATAAATCCTCAAATTCATTAAATTTAATGTTCATGTGAACTTCCATTCAGATATGCTATTACGGACATGCGGAAGCTGGCAAACAGGATGCAGTTTGGAGTGCCTGAAGAGAGTTCTTTAGGTAATTGTAATCAGCTTCAGATTATCTAGGATATTGGTTGATATATGTCCTACATGTTGGACTTTGCATATGTCTGTCACTGCATATTTACTCGATGTTTAATTGGTGGGATGCTCTGAAGATTGAAAGCATAGTTGGCTTGTAAATAGCTGCTTCAATCTATCTTCTGTTACATAGAGTGTTTCATAACTACTGATTTAGATAATTCTCTGGAGAAGTGCCTTTAACTATTCTCATCTTCGTATCTTTTAATTTCACATCTTTTTCTTCTTTTACTATTCTCTTCCTTGTAAATAGGTGATGGACTGGGGGAAGGATATGGGATGCTTGGTCAAGCTGGAAGTGGAAAATTACGTGTATCAGTTGCCCAGAGCAAGCTTTCGGCTAAAGTTACGAAGAAGTATGTTTTTGTTTACTCCTTTTAGTTCCCTGTTGAACTGCAAATTTTGCAGTCTTCAGATTATTAGAAATTTCTTGACTGTGATTTGAATTTAATGTTCTTCTTCTCGTTTCTTATGCTGTTTTAATAGGCCAATTATCATCTCAACCTTGTCTATATGATCATGGGCTGTCAAATGATTTCAGGTTCAAGGAGAAGCAGTATGGAAGCAGTGGTGCTACCTCGGGACTGACTTCAAGTTTGGCATTCACTCCAGTGCAGGTATGAATTAACTTTTCATCATCTCCTGAACAACCCCTGTCCGAGTCCGTCTTATGTAACATTTAAATACCAAATTAATGATGCAGACTTGGTCTACTAGATTTAGTGGAATGATATCTGTTGATGGACTTGCATAAAAGTAAGAAAAACATGAACATAATCCAAAGGTGTAGTCTATGATTTGTAGCCCATATTTTGGTCATAGAATACTGTTTTCTTTTTTGCCACAATTTAGGTATCTCATTTCTTGTATTTTTTAGTTGAGTTAGACTATGAATTGGCTGACTGGTTGTCTGCTCTCCGTATATGGTTCAACAGCAGTAGAAAGTTTTAACTCAATCTGTCTGGTATATTTCCAAATTCAGCAAGTTGAGTCTAAGTAGAAGGTAATAGAATAGAACTACTTCCCTAGAGTTCTTCTTAAAGTTTAGTTTTATAAGATGATATGATTAGGACCTGGAAAGCCTTTTGTGCCTTTTGGTTTTGGTCCATGGAGTCTATGTTGGTGAAGCCTATGTTCACATATGATTTTGTTAAGTTTGAAAGGCAGAATAATTTGCAAAGTCGTATTCCATAACGCCAGCGTTTTGTTTTCAAACTTCCTCTTGTTTCTCATTGTAGGCATGTAGAAAAAGATTACAACCACACATAATTATCTTTCCAACTTTTCCTTCAAAAACTCCATCACTTTCTGTACCTTGTGTGAGCCTTACCTCAACCATTTGGGATTTCATATTTTAAATGTGGGTAATTTCACATGGATCCCCCCTGCAGTTAGGTTAAATGACATGCACACCCCCTGACATTCCAAAAATAACATGGCAATCCCAACAAAATCACACGGCAATCCCCACCCCCTGACCTAGGCTTAGTCTGTTTCTTTGTATAACTTTAATGTAGGATAATTGACCTCATAAACAAATAGATTATGGACCTCCTTTTGCTGATGCCTATTTTTGTAATTTACTATGTAGATACTGTTCTTTCCATTTCCTTTATATTTTGCTTATTTCATTTTTTTCATCATTCTCATTTTTTCCTGCTGATGATTCACATGATATTGACTCTTTGCAGGGGATTGAGCTTTCAAACCCACAGGCACATGCACATCAACTTGGAAGTGGAACTCAAAGCACGTACTTTTCGGAAACAGGAACATTTTCAAAGATCAAGAGGAACTAAAGCACTGGGACAATTGTGTATGTAACTGAATTTCAGCCTGTTTGCGTACATTTTAGTCTGCCGTGGATGCATTAACAAGATAGAATGATTTTTATTAAATTTTCAAATTGCAAATAATAGTAACTTGTTGATCATGCACCATTGATTAGCCTGAATTTTTTGGTCTTTGTACTCAAATTACACATATGGATACATCTTTTCGTTACTTCTTTGTTTTGGACAAAGCTGAATATCTTTCCCGACAAGATGGAAAAAGAATGGCCATTAGAAAGCCGAAGAAATTCTGCTTGCCTTTTTCTTTGGCATATGCTAGTTCAGTAGACAATCAAAATATGAAGGCACAATAGTAGTCTCCTAGTGATCTATTTATATTTTTATCAGACACCAAGTTTTTAACATGTTTTAATGGTAGATTCAAGAACTGTTGAAATTGTTAATCTTCGCCACTGATACTCATTTGTATTGTCCTATGAAAATTAAGAAGCCATTGCCTCTTCAAATTACTACCAAATATTAGATATCATATCTTTTTCAAATGGGTAAATGCTACAACGATTAGTTGAGACAGTTGAACTTCCATTAAAGTGTGAAAGATCAAGATTTATACTGTTGGAATCTGACTTTACTTTTGGGACACTTGTGCATTTAGTTGCTGCTTTTACTTCATATGTTTTTTGTTGTTTGTTTTCCCTGTTGTTGGTGGTCATCTTTGGATTGGGTTGGATTTGGAATGAGCAGTCATTGAATGTGAAAAACATTACAGTTTCTAGAGTGCAGAGGATTTAGTGTCAAAGAGGACAATATAAGGTCCAAAGTGGCTGCAAGAAAGTAGTGTTGAAAAGCTTACCCAAATGTCTTTAGTGGTTACCTGTTGTAATGGGGTTGCTGAGTTACCACACCCCCCGCCAATAACGAAGAAGTGGGAATAATGTGCCGATCCAGTTGGGTTTAATAAATCGAGTTCTTGTTCCTTTTGTCTAACCTCTGAAAACAAACATATGTATTGCATATTGTATGTAGATGTACAATTCTTTTGTGTTTTCTATGAAACTGGTGAGACAAGGACATAATTTTATGCTTTGAAATTGAGCTATTGTCTGGAATGGATTGTATCATTGAAATTTCATTGTTTGACCATCTGTATCACATATGTGATATGGTTTACACTTTATTGGCAACTGGCCTCAGCTGGATTATTTTAATAGAAGAATATAAAAGGCAGGCAATAAAGTCAGAAGAGGTTATGTTTCAGTAATCAATTAAATAATCTGACAAGATCCCAAAGATTTTGTCACTGTAACATGTAGCCACTCATTTCTTATCTTATCTTTTAGGGGATGGGTATTGTAATCTCTTCTTTATATTAAATAATTAGAAATATATCATAGCAATGTTATTTGAATTTAATTTATTAATTTAATTTATTGATTTAATCATTCGTTACTATTAGATTGACAATGAGTATTGGGACCCATCAACAATCTAATGATTGTGATATATATTATATCAACAAATTGAATGAAATATAACATATTATATTTTAATTTGGGTAAAAACTTAATGGTCCGAAGTTGAACATTTTGCCATGATCACCCTGAAAAATGTTTATTTTTTGCCTAAGAAGCAAATATTGCGCCAACCAACAACTTTATACTGTAAACGATCTAATGAAAGACTGCAGTGATCATTATGTCAATCGTTAATTGTTAACCCTACGCATCTTTAAGTTGAACAAAAGTCATACTTTAATTACGTTTTAAACAATATTTTGACATGTTGGAGCATTAGCTGTCAGCTTCTCAAATTATTCAAATCTTCTTATCCAATCAAGTAATTAATTGGACTTATTTCTTATCTGTTTTTTATGGTTTAGATTCCCTGTGACGTAACCGCAGGCGCACGGATAGTAAAACGCTGTGTTATCTTAATCACAGCCGTCTGATGTTTACCTCTTGTTCAAAAATCCCTAAAAAGTACGCCCCTTTTTTTTTNGTGCCGATCCAGTTAGGTTTAATAAATCGAGTTCTTGTTCCTTTTGTCTAACCTCTGAAAACAAACATATGTATTGCATATTGAAAGCAGATGTACAATTCTTTTGTGTTTTCTATGAAACTGGTGAGACAAGGACATAATTTTATGCTTTGAAATTGTTGTGTGGACAACTCCTCGGTGTTTTTTATGCTTTGAAATTGAGCTATTGTCTGGAATGGATTGTATCATTGAAATTTCATTGTTTGACCATCTGTATCACATATGTGATATGGTTTACACTTTATTGGCAACTGGCCTCAGCTGGATTATTTTAATAGAAGAATATAAAAGGCAGGCAATAAAGTCAGAAGAGGTTATGTTTCAGTAATCAATTAAATAATCTGACAAGATCCCAAAGATTTTGTCACTGTAACATGTAGCCACTCATTTCTTATCTTATCTTTTAGGGGATGGGTATTGTAATCTCTTCTTTATATTAAATAATTAGAAATATATCATAGCAATGTTATTTGAATTTAATTTATTAATTTAATTTATTGATTTAATCATTCGTTACTATTAGATTGACAATGAGTATTGGGACCCNTGAAGTCAGAAGAGGTTATGCTTCAGTAATCAGTTAAATAATCTGACAAAATCAAGATTTTGTCACTGTAACACGTAGCCACTCATATCTTATCTTATCTTTTAGGGAATGGGTATTGTAATCTCTTCTTTTATATTAAATAATAATTAGAAATATATCATAGCAATGTTATTTAAATTTAATTTATTAATCTAATTTATTGATTTAATCATTCGTTACTATTAGATTGACAATGAGTATTGGGACCCATCAACAATCTAATGATTGTGATATATATTATATCAACAAATTGAATGAAATATAACATATTATATTTTAATTTGGGTAAAAACTTAATGGTCCGAAGTTGAACATTTTGCCATGATCACCCTGAAAAATGTTTATTTTTTGCCTAAGAAGCAAATATTGCGCCAACCAACAACTTTATACTGTAAACGATCTAATGAAAGACTGCAGTGATCATTATGTCAATCGTTAATTGTTAACCCTACGCATCTTTAAGTTGAACAAAAGTCATACTTTAATTACGTTTTAAACAATATTTTGACATGTTGGAGCATTAGCTGTCAGCTTGTCAAATTATTCAAATCTTCTTATCCAATCAAGTAATTGATTGGACTTATTTCTTATCTGTTTTTTATGGTTTAGATTCCCTGTGACGTAACCGCAGGCGCACGGATAGTAAAACGCTGTGTTATCTTAATCACAGCCGTCTGATGTTTACCTCTTGTTCAAAAATCCCTAAAAAGTACGCCCCTTTTTTTTTTATTATTTATAAAATTTTATTCTATTAAATTTATACCGGGTTTGTGTTGTGTTAATTTATCATGTTATAAATTATCATCTATAACTCTTTTTTACTGTTTAAAAAAAAGGATGGAGGTAAATAAAAGTATGCAGATATCACATTGATAAATTTTCACTAATGAGATTAAATGGCTCGTGATCGTGCCTATTACTTTTCTTGACAACAAATCTAATTAAACTAGTATAACAATCAACCATTGAGTCTTAATATAGATTTCAAGACTCGAACCTCCAATTTTAAGGTAAGAAGTTCGGTTAGTACCCTACTAGACCACCCCACTCGATGGTTGTCATCTATGAAATATGGATATTTCGTTGGGATTGACGTATCTGTATCGGATACGATACTCGAGGATACGTATCAGATACACTTTTNCCATCAACAATCTAATGATTGTGATATATATTATATCAACAAATTGAATGAAATATAACATATTATATTTTAATTTGGGTAAAAACTTAATGGTCCGAAGTTGAACATTTTGCCATGATCACCCTGAAAAATGTTTATTTTTTGCCTAAGAAGCAAATATTGCGCCAACCAACAACTTTATACTGTAAACGATCTAATGAAAGACTGCAGTGATCATTATGTCAATCGTTAATTGTTAACCCTACGCATCTTTAAGTTGAACAAAAGTCATNGATGTCAATCGTTAATCGTTAACCCTACGCATCTTTAAGTTGAACAAAAGTCATACTTTAATTACGTTTTAAANGTGATCATTATGTCAATCGTTAATTGTTAACCCTACGCATCTTTAAGTTGAACAAAAGTCATACTTTAATTACGTTTTAAACAATATTTTGACATGTTGGAGCATTAGCTGTCAGCTTGTCAAATTATTCAAATCTTCTTATCCAATCAAGTAATTGATTGGACTTATTTCTTATCTGTTTTTTATGGTTTAGATTCCCTGTGACGTAACCGCAGGCGCACGGATAGTAAAACGCTGTGTTATCTTAATCACAGCCGTCTGATGTTTACCTCTTGTTCAAAAATCCCTAAAAAGTACGCCCCTTTTTTTTTTATTATTTATAAAATTTTATTCTATTAAATTTATACCGGGTTTGTGTTGTGTTAATTTATCATGTTATAAATTATCATCTATAACTCTTTTTTACTGTTTAAAAAAAAGGATGGAGGTAAATAAAAGTATGCAGATATCACATTGATAAATTTTCACTAATGAGATTAAATGGCTCGTGATCGTGCCTATTACTTTTCTTGACAACAAATCTAATTAAACTAGTATAACAATCAACCATTGAGTCTTAATATAGATTTCAAGACTCGAACCTCCAATTTTAAGGTAAGAAGTTCGGTTAGTACCCTACTAGACCACCCCACTCGATGGTTGTCATCTATGAAATATGGATATTTCGTTGGGATTGACGTATCTGTATCGGATACGATACTCGAGGATACGTATCAGATACACTTTTTACGTATCTAATAATAATTAATACATTTTTTACGTATCAAATAATAATTAAATATTAACATACCTCACGGATACTTTTATATTCAAACAATATATATAATTTTTGAGTTGATTTTTTAAAATTTTCTTTCAAATTCACATACCATACAATACATTTACAAAAATTCATACTATTTCAAAGACACATGAATATTTTTTAAGTATTATCTATAATTTACATTACATGTCAATATAGCATAAAAATAAATAAATTACATTATAGTTTTAGCAAAAATCACTTCTAAATAAACCGACTCGGTAAATGTTAGTTTTGATTCCTTTAATTAATTATTTTACTTTTGTGAATATACTATAGTGATGCAATATATATTTTCTTTAAACTAAAAAGAATTATAAATTTTCCTTATTGTGTGAAAGAATTACCAAAATATATAAGTATTATTTTGATTGAAAATAATAAAAATATTTTATTATAGTCGTATCTTGACTATATTCGTATCCTTTTTTAAAAAAAAATTATTGTATCACCGTATCCGTATCGTATCATTCTCATCTCACGTATTCATATTCATACTTCATAGGTTGTCATCTATAATTGTAACTACATATTATTTGAACTTATAATTAGAATACAAATTTTTTGTATCGATTAAACCTGAGTTATGTATGATCACTTACAAAATTATTATTGAATAATCGTGTTGAAGTTCGTATAATTGTTTTGAGTAATGTTATAAGAATATAGTNCTTTTCTTTTTCTTTTTTTTTTTTTTTATTATTTATAAAATTTTATTCTATTAAATTTATACCGGGTTTGTGTTGTGTTAATTTATCATGTTATAAATTATCATCTATAACTCTTTTTTACTGTTTAAAAAAAAGGATGGAGGTAAATAAAAGTATGCAGATATCACATTGATAAATTTTCACTAATGAGATTAAATGGCTCGTGATCGTGCCTATTACTTTTCTTGACAACAAATCTAATTAAACTAGTATAACAATCAACCATTGAGTCTTAATATAGATTTCAAGACTCGAACCTCCAATTTTAAGATAAGAAGTTCGGTCAGTACCCTTCTAGACCACCCACTCGATGGTTGTCATCTATGAAATATGGATATTTCGTTGAGATTGACGTATCTGTATCGGATACGATACTCGAGGATACGTATCAGATACACTTTTTACGTATCTAATAATAATTAATACATTTTTTACGTATCAAATAATAATTAAATATTAACATACCTCACGGATACTTTTATATTCAAACAATATATATAATTTTTGAGTTGATTTTTTAAAATTTTCTTTCAAATTCACATACCATACAATACATTTACAAAAATTCATACTATTTCAAAGACACATGAATATTTTTTAAGTATTATCTATAATTTACATTACATGTCAATATAGCATAAAAATAAATAAATTACATTATAGTTTTAGCAAAAATCACTTCTAAATAAACCGACTCGGTAAATGTTAGTTTTGATTCCTTTAATTAATTATTTTACTTTTGTGAATATACTATAGTGATGCAATATATATTTTCTTTAAACTAAAAAGAATTATAAATTTTCCTTATTGTGTGAAAGAATTACCAAAATATATAAGTATTATTTTGATTGAAAATAATAAAAATATTTTATTATAGTCGTATCTTGACTATATTCGTATCTTTTTTTAAAAAAAAATTATTGTATCACCGTATCCGTATCGTATCATTCTCATCTCACGTATTCATATTCATACTTCATAGGTTGTCATCTATAATTGTAACTACATATTATTTGAACTTATAATTAGAATACAAATTTTTTGTATCGATTAAACCTGAGTTATGTATGATCACTTACAAAATTATTATTGAATAATCGTGTTGAAGTTCGTATAATTGTTTTGAGTAATGTTATAAGAATATAGTTTAGGAACTTAATGGGGGACTTTAGTCAATGAACTTATGGGATTCGTTGTGAGTTCAATCTAAAGTTCATGTTGAATTAAGTTCTCAGACTGGGTGATCAAAATAACATTTTTCCACCGCTTTAATAAACTTCAGAAAAAATAGTTAAAGGTCCTGATCTTTGTTCAAGAAACGAACGGTCCTGATCTAGGTTAGAAATATGGGGTCACAGTAAGAGAGCAATACCAAATTGTACCACCTTATAATATTCGTTTCCCTCCTACTTTGCGGTTTTGGTTGGTTGTTCATACGTTTTCTCTTCTCTCCCTCTCTCTCTCTCTCATATCACAGAGGTGGCGTCGTAGACCATTCAGCCGTTTTGATTTGACATTTAAACCCCCTTCTCCCCCCCAAAAAAAAAAAAGTTCACGACGATAATTAGAAGATAGACACACACATATACACATACAGAGACGGTCAAAGATACTGTGTTCTTCGAAAGCTTGAGTTTTTTCTCTGTTTTCTTTAATGGCGGCCCGAAGGATCTCATCACTTTTCTCTCGCTCATTCACCTCTTCATCGGTTGCTTTGGTTTCTCGAGGTAGAGACAGAGACAGAGACCGTCCATTTGTATTGTCTACTTCTACTGTCTGTTCTGTATCTATCTGTTGTTTTTTAAACTCTGTTTTGCTCATATCTGATCGCATTGTCATGATTGTTTTGCACTCGGAGACTGAGCGTCAATGAGTGTTTGTAATTTGAGTTCACTGAGATCTATGTTGGTAGTTTCAGCATATATAAATCCAGAGGCCATTAGCCATTATCCAGCTTGGGCAGAGTGGATTGGAATGGACTTAAGTCAATCAGATCTTTCATATGGTTTGGAATTGTGATTAGCGTGTAATAATTATGTTAAAAAGAAATTTTTAATCTGTAATTTACTTGTGATATGCATAGCTACGTCGTGGATTAACTGTGATTACATATGATTTGATCAAGTACATAATGTATACTTAGTGTGTAAGATTTGCTTTTCAAATTAAGTTTTGATGAAGAACAATGGTTTAATCTGGCCGACCTGTAGAAACTGCCATTTCGTGGATTGGAATGGTGATTACATTAATCATACAGAATCAGATTTATATTTAGACTTGCCCAACATCCTTAATTTTTTATTTGGTTTGATTCTATGTTTTTTTGCAATAAATTTACTTTGTAACACTTGTTACTGCTCTGTAATTTATGACGGAGGAAGGTAGATTTCAGATTTCGTGGCCAAAGATTTTTTCTTATGTTTAGAAAATTGCCGTAGTTATTGATCAAACTCGAGACATGTCGTTTCTTTAGGGAAAAACTCTTATCTAGGCAGAGGAATTTGTAACTATAGCACAGCTGCCGCTATTGAGGAGCCAATCAAGCCACCTGTCAGTGTGGATCATAATCAGCTTCTTATAAATGGACAGTTTGTGGACGCAGCATCTGGTGAGCTTTCATCTGTATATTGGAACATTTCACTCTTTCATGTAATCAGTGTCTACAGTTCTTCATCCCTTGATATTGTAGTTCTAGTGTTCTACTATTTCTTCCAACAATAATCCATTTAAAGGAACTTATGGCTGAAGTTTTCTCTACCATCAGGAAAAACTTTTCCAACATTGGACCCTAGGACTGGGGAGGTGATTGCTCATGTTGCCGAAGGTGATTTAGAAGACATCAATCGAGCAGTTGCTGCAGCTCGCAAAGCTTTTGATGAAGGACCATGGCCAAAAATGACTGCTTATGTAGACAATCTCTCCCATTAATAGTTAATGTCTTTTACATGCATCGCATGATGGAACTCCTTCTAATAATTTCATTTGACTCGTGCAGGAAAGATCAAGAATAATGTTGCGCTTGGCAGACTTGGTTGAGAAGCATAATGATGAAATTGCTGCACTTGAGACTTGGGACAATGGGAAGCCATATGAACAATCGGCTAGTATTGAAGTACCAATGTTTGTACGCCTAATGCGATATTATGCTGGTATGTCAAAGGTGAATTTAAGAAATATAATATATTCGGCCAAATGCTTCTGCGTTCCTTTTATTTTACAATCCCACATATATTTACAAACATTCCCTGATATCTACCTACATATTCTGCAGGTTGGGCAGATAAAATTCATGGTCTCACCCTTCCTGCTGATGGACCGTATCATGTGCAAACTTTGCATGAACCAATTGGTGTTGCCGGCCAGATTATCCCGTGGAATTTTCCTCTTCTCATGTATGCTTGGAAAGTTGGGCCTGCCCTTGCATGTGGTAACACTGTTGTTCTGAAGACGGCAGAACAGACGCCACTGTCTGCTCTATATGTATCAAAGCTATTCCATGAGGTAGTATATCATTTGATTCCCTTCTCCTTGTTCTAATTATCATGGGCCTTTGCTGAAATGGTCTGCTGTAGTTCACTGACACATAATTGAACACCTAGCTGCAATCAACGCATATCATGAGCAACTTGCTCTCAATTTTGGTAGCACTTTAGGTAGTTCTTTATTTGTTTCTGGTAAATTAATGTCTAAGCCGGTTCAAGGGTCATCTAATCTAAAGATTGTGTAATATCCGAAAATCTTTTTTTTTTAATAGAGACTCAGTGCAGTCCAATGTACAAAGTTTAGGTTTTTTTTTTNAACTGCAATCAGCGCATATCATGAGCAACTTGCTCTCAATTTTGGTAGCACTTTAGGTAGTTCTTTATTTGTTTCTGGTAAATTAATATCTAAGCCGGTTCAAGGGTCATCTAATCTAAAGATTGTGTAATATCCGAAAATCTGTTTTTTTTAATAGAGACTCAGTGCAGTCCAATGTACAAAGTTTAGGTTTTTTTTTTTTTTGGGATGGGAGGGGAGGGGGAAGGGGGACTTGAACCCTTGATCTCAAGAAGGCAAAACCTTCACAAGACAAGGAGTACCATTAGACCAAATGCTCATTGATACAAAGTATACGTAGAAGCATCTTAAACATGCATAAAGAACAAAAAATTTGATTTGATTTACATTATGTCATGAATGGATCACACTAGATTTGTGTCCAGGATGCTTTTATATGTACTTGAATTGGAAAAAATATTACATGATTGCTTGGTGACTTCGTCTTCTGGAGTCAATGGAGTTTTTAATTTTGTTTTTTTTTTTTGGTGCTGATGATGCCTATAAATGTTAGCATGGTATCTATTCTTGTTTGATAATATTGGCGACAGGCAGGGCTTCCTTCTGGCGTTTTGAATGTGGTTTCTGGCTTTGGTCCCACTGCTGGGGCAGCTCTTTGCAGTCATATGGATGTGGACAAGGTAATCTACATATGTAAATGCTCTTACAGTGGTGTGCGGTCCTTTAAGAATTTCTTTGCAGGTTTAAAACTGCAATTTCATGGCTAGGCTTATTTTCTGCCATAACATTGTTGTACTATGGGATATGCTTGCGTTTGACTTCAAGGACAGTTGCTTGATCACACTGCATGATACCCCAGAATGAATCCATACGTGGTTTCGAGTTGGATTGAGGCATGCTATTACCTCAACATTCTCCAATTCCAATGTCAAACCCTTGATTCTGGGGTTGATCCATGTGAAGGGGTATGAGATTTGGTATTCTACAAAGAGGAAGTATCATCAGGTGGCTATGATATCACTCTTGAATACGCTGGTATTTTTTGCTCATTAGTGTATGTGTGACTAGCAAGAAATTTTCCATAGCCTACGAATGTCAAATTTATACTTTATTTGGAAACATGCATGGTGTTATGAGACTCAACTCAGTAAAGCCTTGCTTGAACTACCTGGTTTGGCCGCATGAGGTTTCAAATTCCTTTCTGTTATGAGTTGAATTGGGGCAAGTTTTGTTGATTACGATTGAGCTCATTTAGCATGCACTTCCTGTAGATAACATACCATGCTTCATAATGTGGATATCTTGATATTGTAGGTCACCATGATATTCCCCTGCTTATCAGATAGATGGAGAAAAACTTGTACATTTAAGTTCAAGGAATAGATTTTGATGTATTCATTTGATAGCACAAAATGATCATACCCAACATCAATGCTGTGCATAATTGCTCTAGGTTTGGTGCTTTGAATAATGCTACCCTCTTGAACAAAAAATAAAATAAAATATCATAATGCCACCCTTAGAAAAGGATAATGTACAAGTTTTTAGTTTGTACTAGACAACAGGCTAGGGTTTTTTTTGTTAAGGTGCATTGTGATGAGGCATTCACAAAGTTGACCAAGACACAGCACCTGTGACCTGTGACCTGTGATGTTCATGATATGAATTAAATAAAACCAGGCAGCGACACACTTGGTGCTACAATCTTTTTATGGATCCACTGTGAAGTCATGAAGCAGGCCAATCATGTAAAGGAATTAGCAATACCTATGTTGCTGAACAACTTATGCCTCTTAGAAGGTCATATTAAGTAGTTGACTTTCAACTTTGTCGAAATTGGAATGCTAAAATTTATTGTAGCATTGATGTGGGTAACAAGCTTGTTACCGAATTATTATTATTATTTTTGGTCTTTGTTGCCGAATTATTGATGGAGTGTTGGTGGGAGGGATGAAAAAATGGAAGTAAAGAAATTAGGAGGGATGGATTTTCCATTCGTAGAGCAAAGAAATGTTATTTCTCTCATTGTTGTTTGGTAGGGCGGATGGAAAAATTGAAGGATAAATTTTATGGTGTTTGGCATTGAAGGGAAAGTGTTTTTTTTGTTTTGTTTTGGGGGTGGGGGGGGAGAGAGGGGAAGAAAAGGCTTGTAGATCTAAATTACTATTTTTCTTAATATAAAATTTTGTATTTATGATGTCATCTTTTTTCTTGATACTTGTGCTCGCAGACAAGTGATTAGTGTCGGTTAAAAAATATTTTATTTGAATAGTTTTTTGTGCATTGTCTTGCTGGTATTATTATAATAATTATTAATAAAGGATAAAAATGTAAAATCCATGTTTGACTTATAATAACCATTTCTTTCCATTCACTTTCGACCCAAATTTGGGAGGAAAATTTTTGGTGGATAGAAGTATAGCTTTTCCCTCCCACTTTCCTCTCCTTATTTTCCACCTACACCAAACCGTGGAAAACCCCCCCTTCCATCCTACTTTCCATCCCTCCTTTTCCATCCACCCCACTTTCCACCATACCAAACATAGGGTAAATTTATTGATCTTCACACTAGATTTGCCAACAATTTATTGATCTTCCAAATTTGTTGGTACAACAATGTGCAAATCTAACTGGTGTACATGGTCAGGCTTGAAGGTAGCTATTATTAAGTTCGATGTTTGGGGTTTTGAACCTACTCTTGGAAATTACTATATGTTAAGTGATAAGCTAGAGCTCAGTCTCATTCTGTGTCGGTGGTTTCATGTAGCTTCAGCTGTCCTTCAAGTCATGGCATTGCAGCTCATCCCTGAACTCATTGACTCAATTTGGATTATGGAGACCTATTGTCACCCCTTGCTGCTGCCTACTACTACTTTCTAATAGTACTTTCTGAGCCTATCTTGGCTTTCCCATGAGAGAAGTTTTGATGTGTTTCTTAACATATTTTCATGATCTTATGGTGGACAGTTTAATGTTTGGATTGGAAAAAAAAAGTAGTTTGATTGGTGAGAGAGAGAGAGAGAGAGGAAGAAAGAAGATTCACTGAACTTGTCTTTCCTCTTCCTNAGTAGTTTGATTGGTGAGAGAGAGAGAGAGAGGAAGAAAGAAGATTCACTGAACTTGTCTTTCCTCTTCCTGTCATTTTTGTCAAGTAATTATACTTGGACAGAGTGTTACATTTCCAACCTCCATGAAATTTAGGCAATTTCAATTTCTCCTTTTAGACAGAGGGTATAGTTTTGGAATTCTAGCACCATGAGTTTTTGTCTTTTGATGATGGAGAAATGCCCCAACTACGCATATTTTGGATTCTTTCTATAAAACAAACTCCAGAGGCACGCTATCACCCGCAAGTCACAGTCATCAGCTAAACCAGGCTCTCTTGCCAAAGTCAAACTTGAGACCTTGAGATCGTAACCCCTAAAGTCTTCCCGTCCAAGCAATCCTAACGGGTAGAGTATGATGGGCCTTTCTGGTTAGTTGGATGAGCATGCACTAAAATTCGCTTTATTAGATACAGTTAGATTCGCTTGCATCTTATGGCCACTAAACAAAGGCATTCTAACCAAATATTTCTTTAGTATGGATATTTTTTAAAGCTGCTCCATTGCACTTACCTCTAAATCAATTTTGTTACTGTCTTTTCAGCTTGCTTTTACTGGATCAACAGAGACTGGAAAAATTGTACTTCAATTGTCTGCTCAAAGTAATCTTAAGCCAGTGACTTTGGAACTTGGTGGGAAATCCCCTTTCATTGTATGTGAGGATGCTGATGTAGATAAGGCTGTTGAGCTGGCACACTTTGCTCTATTCTTTAACCAGGTATCTACATTTGTTGTTTTCAAAGGGTGTAGTGAATCATTGCAAATAATATGTTTTAACAAATTTCATTCTATTTGCAGGGACAATGCTGCTGTGCTGGCTCTCGCACATTTGTTCACGAACGTGTATATGATGAATTTGTAGAAAAAGCAAAGGCACGGGCAATGCAACGGGCTGTTGGTGATCCATTCAAGCAGGGAATTGAACAAGGTCCTCAGGTAAATCAGCACAGATTGCTTTACATTATGTTCCTCTTCTAATTTAATTATCTGTG